ATTTATTTTTATTTTGTGAATTAAATTGAAGGGTAGCTCAGTTGTTAGAACTGCCCTTGGTTTTAATCCACTGACAGGCCGAACTGATGAATGGAAATAAAATAAATGGGTGTGAATTTTAACCAGGTTGTGGACCGTGACGTAAAGTATAATGGAAAAGCTAGACCAGTTGGGAACGACTGCTGGAGCGGGGCAGGAGAAGAAGAAGAAGAGCTGCCACGGGAGCAGGGATTTACAAGCAGGGAATGAGTGAAATATATATCACTTATTGATTCTCTCTCTCTCTCTCTCTAGATAGATAGATAGATAGATAGATAGGTAGAGATATGAAATAGTTAAACTACAGTGAAAAGTAAAAACAGACTAGTAAGTAACATCTGTAGTTGGGCCAACATTGTATTGGAATACAACATGACTGTTTTTCTGAGGGAGAATTTTTTTTATTGGAGGATGCTGAAAAAAGAACAGCCGCGTGAAGCGTTGCGATGAGCTCACCTAGCCACCACCTCTGTGGGGCAGTTTTTAGACTGTGGTCTAACTTTCCTTGTCTCATGTGGCAATACATGTTTACTGTGTATGCTTGTGTAAAGAACAAACATTCTGGCTGAAGAAAGACTTTGAAGAGCAGGTGTAAGCGGGGTAAATGACACAAAGGCTTTCAGGAGAAGAAGCCGATTGCTTTTTGACAATTCTGCCGATGTTTTCAGCAATCTTCTAAATCAACATCAGTGACATCTTTGCCTTGCTATGGTTCTCATCTACTGTCACGAACATGAGCAAACTGACAGAACACTTGCATTGCTATTAGCTAAAGATGTGAAGAGCATTACTGCTCAATGCTCACCAGTAAATGTTAGCTGTCTGAGAGCCTCGTCTTAGCTCCTGTATGAGCTGACCTGCAGATGTGTCAAAAATTCTAATAAGAGTCCCCTGTGGAAACACAACATAGATTCGTCAGTAAGTCAGCAATAACAGAAACAAATTACACAACAACTGAATAGGGGAAGTGTTCCAACATCCAACATTTCTGTCAGTTTACGACAGCCCTAGCGCAGCTTACTTTCTCTGATGCAGTAGCAATTCTTGTGCCCTGCAGATTTAGAGCGATGCAGCACAGCGCCCCTTCATGGGCGGGGATATCAACTGGGGGCTTCTCTGTGTTGGCCAGGTCCACTATCTGCACATGGCCTGAGTGTGTTCCAGGGAATGCCAACAGAGAGTTGTTGCTATTGGGACACAGCACACACAGACCTGAGGAGAACAAGGGAAAAGGTTGGTTATGATATGGACACGAACTATTTGGATTTCACTGTTCCAGTGCTTTGTTTAAACCGTGTTACGTCTTGCATTAACTGCAAAGCTTTGGAAATTTTGGGACTAGATTTGACTACAACTTCAAAGAAAGTGTGGGTTCAAATGATGCTTCACTACGGAGTACAAGTTCGCTGAACACGCCAAAGAGTGTGTGGTTCAAGAGGATTGGTATGTGTAGAACCGGCTGATTAAAAGTCCTTTAGGAGTTTAAACAGTGTAGTACTAACCTTTGGGGTTGTAACAGGTTTCAAACACATGCAGCTGATGGGGGTTGTGGGTAAAGGTGAAGACTTTGATCATTGAGTCCAGGACCACCACAATCCTGAGAACAAAGGTGAACCAGCACAGAGACAAAAACTTGAACTAAATGTCCCAAATAAATCTACTCAAATAGCATTCACACACTAATCTGACACTTTCAGTTAGAAAACCAGAGGCCACTCGACTGACAATGAATGGGAGAATCAAGCCGAGATATTAAGATAACCAGCAGCATATTAGTATGGCTGCACTGTCACAGTCCCTGTCACATTGCCACAGTACTGCTGTGTGATTAATTTGAGAAACATTTTGAAGGAGTGATGTATGAAATCTAAACACTATGGTTGTGCCTGAAGAGGAACCGCCCATCTGCTCACTAATGCATTGCACAACACTTATTTTGCAACTGTCACAAATGATTAAATAAATTCAAGACACTCCCTGGACACTTGACGCAGCTTTACAAAGTAGTTTTAACTCCATTTGAGCTTAGTGGGGGGACCTTTTCTTTTTTACCTGTCACGCCGAAGCTTCACTGCTTTGACTTCTGTTGAGAACTCAATCTCAATAACGGTCTTCTTCTTCAGGTCATCCCAGATCATCACTAGAGTACAAAAAGAAAAACTTAAAGTACTTAGCTTAATATCTGTTTCATTGTTATAACAGCCTACAAAAGTATGAGAGTATGATGGGAAAAAGGAACTACAAGCCATCGTTTGTCGTCTGGCATAAGTCCAGTACTGACAACACTGCTGATGCTAAAAAAAGAAGCAGCAATACAGTATATCAACATTGCTAACATAATTAGACAAAAAATACCTTTGTTGGTTGGGTACTTGGGTTTCTTTCCTCCTCCCACTAGTGCTAAATAGTTCACCTGAACAGCATCTCCACGTGGCCAACCCCGCCCTCCATGAACTCTGAAAGTCAACATTGTTGGTAGTGAACACATCAATAATAACAGTAACTGTTAATTACTCTAAGAAAGGAATGCAGCCCTTATCACCAGAACTATCTGTCAACTCTGCTCCAAACAACATTTGCACAGTGCTTCTAATCACTAATGCTTACTCATCCCTCCATATTGCATGGAGAGAAGTGCAGTAAAACCTGTCATCAAAGAACTGCTCATGGATTAGCACAGAAAGAAAGGACAAAAGACCCCACTTGGTCCTATGAATGAGTACTTGGGCTGCTCCTGGCCTACCGCAGTTTAATCCGATGAGTTAAGAGAGGTAACTCTGGAGCAGGTCATGTGCCGAGTCACATTTTCGGGCCTCTTTAGGGGAAACTTCCTCTTATATCCCTCCATATTTAAGAACTTACAATTCTGTCACAATGCTTTGTTGCTGTGTGCAGCAGAATTGGCTCGTTTACTTTTTTTTTTCTGCAGTCATAAGCCAAAAAGCTTTGAACAAGGACAGTTCCCATAATACATTTTCTGTTCACACGTACATACGCACAAGTAAATTATTCGAATCATACAATAAAACAACGGTCAGAGTCTGTGCATTGACATATGTGCCATTTATTTTGGTTATTTATTTTTATTATTGACAATATGCCAACATTTGAATGCCTGAACTGTTACAGTAAGGATTATAGCCAATAAGCTGTTTGGATGTTTACATTTTTTAAAAATAAATGGCAACCTTTAATTTGTTGTTTTGCTGTACTACAAACATACCGAACCGTGACCCCAAAACAGAGGTAAATACTGTGAATTTTGTGTACTGTTACAAATTGTTATTCTATTTTCTACCACTAGCCAAGCCCAATAAAGGGATTCTCATGTACTGACAGAAACTATGCACCACCTAAATTATTTCTATTTTGTATGTGCTGTGCCTTACTATGGATTGCAAATGTGACTGACAAATCCAGCCGATTAACCACACATTTTCTTTTCTCAAAAGTTTACTTTTTTAACAAGTACACTGCCTTAAAGTATCAATATGTTGCAACTTGGCAGACTGCCAGGTTACAGGTATACACCCTATAAACAAAATATGTCCAACATGACCGATTCTTTCCTACCAGTTATAGACGATCATTTCTACAAAGCTTCTTACCTTGTTTCTCCTTCTCCTTAAGCGGATCTGTGTTGTAAACACGAAATCCATTCTCCATTCCACAGGCAAAGCATCCTGAAGAGACATAGAAAGATGAAAAAGCTATTAGAAAATAACTAAAGATCCCATTATCACAGGATTTTCACAAATATAATTTAAATGGAATGGTTGTAACACCCTCAACCTTTACAGTAATGACAACCCACAACATAAAGGACCCTGGGCAGCTAATTTAAACTGGACCAACTGTCATAGTATGGTGATATGGCAGAATTCAAATAAAAGTGGCCTACTGTATGTTGACGAATGATGACAATGATATCAAGCCATAGCAAGTTCTTTAAGGGGTCATATGAGGTCTTTGGACACCTCAACTTTATGAGATTACAATACCATCAGTTCTGACAGAGCTAACGTTAGTTGGTCTCAACAATTTCAATAAATCAATGTTAAGTTAGACCAATTAAGACGACTACTTTAACTTTCAGGCCTGTGTAAATATGTGTGGGCGGGGAGCGAATAAAATGTGAACAGTGCTGAGTTGTACTATGTAGCTACATGATAATAAAGAAGAAATGTCTTCACTTATTAAAACTGGCAAACCAATAAAAGACTAGGCTCATTTTGGAAGTAACTAGCATAACATTAGCACAGTGACGCTGTAATAACTATCAAACTTAGCATAGCAAGCTGTTCACTAGCTAACGCTAATGTTTTCCCCGTTGTCGGTCGGGATGCTAACAGTAACGTTAGCTTATAAGTTCAGTTCGCTTACACCAGTAGCTTTCTATACGCTATTCTTACTTGAGTACATAAACTTAAACGACATGTTTATGTCTAACTTTACAAATATTGTTATGCCGATCCAACATAAGCTGGTTAATTGACTAATATGTTGGCTTAAAACAAAAACACAAAACTACGTTAGCTGGCTAAAAGGCGTAGCTAGCTAACATTATTTTAACGTTCGCGGCTTTAAATGAACGTTTCTGAAAGGCGCAGCAGTATTATCGCTAAACAATTTCAAGCACAGCAATGTAAAGCTACTAATGTTAGATAACGTTATGGTTAATTTATCCTCTGGGAAGACATCGGTTTAGCAATGTTAGCTTAGCATTCACGACGCTGCCAATTTCCATTTCGGAGAAAAACAATATATGACAGCGCCGCTTCTTACCGTGATCCTGGTTAAATCCAGCATAAAGGAGCCCATTCCCGTGAGGATTCGACGGTAGTAAATTCATTATTTTAACAAAACAACCGAATGTCAAATAACGTTAATAAGTTAATCTTCTGCTAGCTACTGCTGCTGTCTGAAGAGCTAACCGGCTACCATTCCTCCTGAGTCCGCTAGCGTTAGGCAGAAAGAAGGAAAACAACTGAAGCTGGTTCCTGCTGGAGAGAGCTGTCACACCAGCCAAGATCAAACGGAGCATTCAGTGAACTTCGGTAACGTATTTGAACAAATTTAACACTGAAATTATTACACGAGTAACTTATCTTCATCAAGTTACGTTAAAAGTAAACGTAACGTTATATCAACGCCCGTGAGACGAGCACTCATCAAAGAAGGGTTTTAACCGCAGGCTACGACTACGGTAACGTTAACGTTAGCCGTTGGTGATGATCTGGACAGTGAATTATGTTTTTTCCTCATGCTAAATATATGCACAAACAAAGATGATCTGGTGTTTTATCTGTGTAACGTTAATTTAAGGTTTTGCTGGATTAAGTGGGAGTTTGAATTCGCCCGCGTTTAAAAAACAAAAACATTCAAGTGAAAAAAATCTGATAGAGCCGAATGTATTTTATGATGTGGCATGTCAGCGTCGCAGACATACAGTCGATGTGGGACATGTGAGGGGTGGATATCGAACACGGATACCGTAGTGTACTCTTATAGAGTAAACAGAGTGTACATTGGTATGTAGCCCCAGTGGCCTAATGGATAAGGCACTGGCCTCCTAAGCCAGGGATTGTGGGTTCGAGTCCCATCTGGGGTGGGCAATTTTTTTATTTCGTTTTTAGTGAGACAACGCTGCTGAGTGATTGGAGAGATTAACCTTTACTGACAACGAAATGCACCTTTGCATTAACTACAAGTGCAAAATGCTGTAAAGTACATATTTAGAGTAGTAAAATAAAAGTAACTGAGCCGTATATATAGGTCAGATATGTACAGAATAAACAGTAGTAGAAATATGAATACAATATAGGGCAAATATGTACTGTATGGTCAGTAGTATACGGTAACTAATTTCATTAATTTGCTGTGCAAATAAAAATCAGTCACAAAATAATG